AAAAAAAGTACAAAACAATTCCATAACAATAAAAAAAAGATACAAAAGATTTAAAATGAAAGGCAGCAGAAAGAAGAAAAAATCTTATTATATCTGCCCCTTTTTTCAAATAATTATTTCAATCATAATAATTTTCAAGTAACAGAACAAAATGAATAACTTTCTAATTTTTCTAATTCTAATACAAAACACACACTAATCTACTTCATATATTTTTTTTTTAACAATTCAGCTTTGATCTTTTTCTTAAATGTTGAGTTGAGAGTTGAATAAAATGTTGTTTTTCTGACTATTTAACCTGTGATATGAAGAGTTTTTGGTGCATGTTGTTGTGAGCCACCCGAGAGGCCTGAGGGGGGAGGCTTGGCCCGCCCTCCCCGCACGTTATCTTGAGGGTTCTCACCCTAGCTTCTCACGCTGTCGCGCTATCTAGAGGTTTTTAAGCTTCTCACGCTCTCACGCTATCTCAAGGGTTTTTCACAGACTTTAAGTCCAGGTGGGCATGTTCTGTTTATTGGGAGATGTTCCCATGTAATGCAGAGAGTATTAAAGTGTGACACTCAGAATTAGAGTGGAAGTCTGCTGTGGATCCTGATCCGATGCCCAGTCAATTGATGTTACCTTTCTACTCGGACTGAAACGGCTTCCCGGTCTGGTGTCACGGTGAGGGGCTTTTACATCAATATCTGATTTGTACTGAATGTACTTGTGCTTTGCTTTGCTGTATCTGTGGCGGTTTAATAAAATGACACTTATTATTCTAGCAGAAACAGCCTGTGAGTGTTTATTCATTGTTCCGACCATTCACCCGAACCTGTACTTTGTTTAAGATAATTTCATAGAACAAATGTACACATTGACTTGGCACATCACTCTCTAGATCATTCCACAATCCAACTCCTTGGATTGAGGTAGACCTTCCCTTCAGACTAGTTCTGAATTTTTGTTTGACAAATATCTCTATCCCCTTAAGATTATAACAACTTTGTCTTTTAACAAAATTTCTTTGGATATTTAATGGTAATGTGTTATTTTGAGCCCTATACATAACTGATAAAATACTGTAATCTACCAAATCATGGAACTTTAATAACTTCAGTTGATAAAATAATGTGCTTGATGGGTGACTGTAATGCTTTCTGGTGATAATTCTTACAGCTCTTTTCTGTAAAATAAAAATAGGTTTTGTAAATGTTTTACACGCTTTCCCCCAAACATCAATGCAATAGATTAAATGTGGAACAATGATTGTGTTATACAACATGTACAGAGCTTTATCATTTAATAATTCCCTGACTTTGTATAGTACTGCAATAGATTTAGATATTTTTGTTCTTACAGAATTGATGTGATTTTTCCATGTTAGCTGTTCATCAATGATTACACCCAAAAATTTCATCTCATTAACTCTACAAATCTCAACACCCTCAATTTTAAATGGATCATCAACAGTTCTCTTTTTGTTACTAAATATCATGTATTTAGTTTTATCTAAATTTAATGATAATTTATTAAGTTTAAACCAAGTTTGTATTTTATCAAATTCTGTCTTCATCAATTCCAACATCCGTTTTACATCTTTACCCAAACAAAAAAATGTGGTGTCATCTGCAAAAAGGACACATTTGAGGAGTCCTGATACATTCACTAAGTCATTCACATATAAAATAAATAACTTTGGTCCAAGTACAGAGCCTTGAGGAACTCCACAAGTGATATTGCACAGGTCAGATCTTACACCATTTATTTGTATGTAGTGAACTAGGCCTGAGGTCAAAGTCCTGACCTTAAGGACCTTGTGGGACAGAAACTGTCATTTCATTGATTTGAATCCAGAAATACAGGTTCACCCATCCTGACACTTTCTTTCTTGAATTAATCAAGTGAAAGAACACTCTCTTTTCTATTATCATTACTATTTTACAAATGTTTGATAATCAAAGTGTTTTAGTTCAAACCATTTTAGATGTTGTAGTGAACTAATCATTTTTAATTAACTGTGAAACATTAATAATGATTTTAATCCTCATGCAAAGTTAGAATTCATGTTAAGGTCTGTTACAGAGTAATTATGCATTTTCTGATTTTCTGTCTTTGAATGAGCAGTGTAAGTTGGTCCAAGGTTGGAGTCAAACGCAAACAAGTGTTGGAACGAGCTGTCATGTTTTTAAAACCTCTCAGACGTAAATAGAGAAGCTGGCACCTGTTTTCCGCCAACTCGTCTAAATATTCCTCTCGGCTGTCTGAAAAACATTTTCAATCTGTTCCATAACATTCTTGCTGTTTTTCTAACTCCTAGTGACCTCTTACGTCACAAAAACACACCCCTGTCTGGTTGAAACGACCAATCAGGAAGCTCCCAAGTGAACCGGAAATAGAGCCCTTTAAATGTCGGTACTTCCTAGTTCAAACCAGTCGCTTCAGGCTCCGGCTTCAGTCGTTGCAACTTCAGTGCTGGGAAACAGGAAAATCCCGACATGACCACAGAGCTCTTCCGAGTCTTATGGGATTATGACATCTTCCACTTCTGAGTGGAACTCTGATGGACTCCACTCAGGTGAAGTCCACTCGTGAGGTGAACTTGTGTCGAACAAGTATCGTCACTACTTCGGACGATTCACAGCTGTTCCTACGGAGACGCTGAAAGGGTGCGTTAAATGGAATTTCGTACTAGGGAGACATCTCCAGGTAAAAGAGATTTCTATCACCTAAGTGTACCGGGGAAGAAGCTGGGAAAAACCCGGAGAGTGCCGTTCTGACGCCGACACAAACATTCTCTCTCATCCATCTTTTTCTCCCTCTAAACTTCATCTTTCCATCTTTAAAATTCTTCTATCAAGTAGAAATCATTCCAGATATTTTAGAAATGTCTGTGTAAAGTTTTCAACCATCGCCGTATGGTTAATCAAAATTGTACAGCTTGCTAAATTACGCCATGTTGTTATTTTTCATATTTTGCCAATTAATGTAAATGTGTGATGTGTTAAACTTTGATTCTGTTAATAAATGACCCACTGTCGTTGGTGAGTCAAAGATAATTAACGTTTCCGTCCACATTTTATTAAATTCAATGCACATTATATACAGTCCAGAAAAATGAAAGAATCCGTTTAATTTATGAATATATCTCATGCATATGTTCATCTACATGTACAAACTGTTTCCTATCTTTTAAATAGCTAGATACCCAGTGTAATGCTGGTCCTCTTATACCATATTCATTTAATTTTTCAAGGAGAATAGTGTGGTCAATAGTATCGAATGCTTTTTTTAAATCAACAAAAATACTAACACAATATTGTTTTTGATCGACAGCAGTAGTTATTTGTTCTATTATTTCCATGAGAGCCATTGATGTAGAGGTTTTTTGCTCTAAACCCATACTGACTGCTACTTAGAATGTTTTGTTTAGTAATAAATTTATCTAATCTGGTCACAAATAGTTTTTCTAGAATTTTTGAGAACTGTGGTAATAAGGATATTGGTCTATAATTACTGAACACACATTTATCACCATTTTTAAAGAGAGGAACTACCTTAGCTACTTTCATATTGTCTGGAAATATTCCTTTTGAAAATGATAAATTACAAATATATGTAAACGGCTCGATAACATAACTCATTATGTCCTTTACAAACATCATATCCATGTCCACCCAGTCTTTTGATCTCTTATCTGTAAGATTTTTTACTACATTCATTATTTCTTCTTTGTCAGTTCCATTAAGAAAAATACTGTTGTCACAACTTATAACTGAATGGTTCACATTATTGTCTACTTTTGGTATTTTAGCTGCAAGGCTTGATCCAACGTTCACAAAGTGATGATTAAATCCATTTACAATTTCATTTTCATCATGGATTTCATCGTCATCCTTCAAAAAATATTGTGAAATACCTGTTTTTGCTTTATGACTTTTCAGAACACTATTTATTACTCATCTGACTGCATTGTGCCAAGTGTAAAGTTTGGTGGAGGGGGCGAGGGTTAAGGTGTGGGGTTGTGTTTCAGGAGCTGGGCTTGACCCCTTAGTTCCAGTGAAAGGAACTCTGACTGCTTTAGCTTACCAAGACATTTTGGACAATTCCATGCTCCCAACTTTGTGGAAAAAGTTTGGAGCTGCCCCTTCCTCTTCCACCATGACTGTGCACCAGTGCACAAAGCAAGGTCCATAAATACATGGATGCAGAGTCTGGTGTGGATGAACTTGACTGGCCTGCACAGAGTCCTGACCGCAACCCGATAGAACATCTTTGGGATGAATTAGAGCAGAGACTGAGAGCCAGACCTTCTCGTCCAACATCAGTATGTGACTTCACAAATGCGCTTCTAGAAGAATGGTCAAAAATCCCTACAAACACATTCTTAAACCTTGTGGACAGCTTTCCCAGAAGAGTTGAAGCTGTTCTAGCTGCATAGTGTGGACCAACGTTATATTGAACCCTATGGATTAGGAATAGGATGTCACTTAAGCTCATATTTGAGTCAAGGCAGGTGAGCGAATGCTTTTGGCAAGGTGGTGTGTGTATATATATATATTTTTTGTGTGTGTGTGTGTGTGTGTGTGTGTGTTTGTATGTGAAATTAGTTTTGTCTGCTGTTGATTAAATAATTTTCATTGTGAATAAATAAAAGTTCTTTTTTTATTCATTCATTCATGATTAGTAATAAATAAAAGCATCTTTATTCACTTTTCATGAACTTATTCCTGAAACTAATTGAACTGTTAGCAATACAGCTTTGTCCAGATTCCATACCTGAACTATCAAGTATTGTCTGCCCCTCTACAGCTTTGTTCTTCCTTCTGTTTTGATGCTTTTCACTTTTTTGGCAAAATTTTGACATCTGCATCATTTGGTTTATTTTTCTCTTTTGTACTTAAAATTATGTAAAAGTACAAACTGTATTTCAAACACTTGATCAGCTTTTGGAAAATGATTCCTTCAGGCATTAAGCTTATCTAATTGATTGTTTATTTTGTTGATGCTTTTTCTCACAGATCTTTGGTCCAGTGATGCAGATCTTAAAGTTTTCATCCCTGGAGGAAGTAATAGAGAGAGCTAATGACACTAAATATGGACTGGCAGCTGCTGTTTTTACAAAGGACCTTGATAAAGCCAACTATGTTTCCAGCAGCCTCCGTGCTGGCACAATTTGGTAAGTATTCTGGTTCTAAAAATATTTTTCTATGCATAGTTTTGTGAGGATGTTATCAATTTTGGTTCAAATCCCACATTGTTACTGTATGTGTATGATTAAAAAAAAAATTTTCAACTTTACTCGATGTAAAATGTCACATCATACAAACCGGATTCCAAAAAAGTTGGGACACTAAACAAATAGTGAATAAAAACTGAATGCAATGATGTGGAGGTGCCAACATCTAATATTTTATTCAGAATAGAACACAAATCACAGATCAAAAGTTTAAACTGAGAGAATGTATCATTTAAAGGGAAAAATCTGTTGTTTCCAAATTTCATGGCGTCAACAAATCCCAAAAAAGTTGGGACAAGTCCATTTCTACCACTGTGTGGCATCCCCCCTTCTTCTTCCAACACTCAACAGACGTCTGGGGACAGAGGAGACCAGTTTCTCCAGTTTAGAAATAGGAATGCTCTCCCATTCATGTCTAATACAGGCCTCTAACTGTTCAATCGTCTTGGGCCTTCTTTGTCGCACCTTCCTCTTTATGATGCACCAAATGTTCTCTCTAGGTGAAAGATCTGGACTGCAGGCTGGCCATTTCAGTACCCGGATCCTTCTCCTACGTAGCCATGATGTTGTGATTGCTGCAGAATGTGGTCTGGCATTATCGTGTTGAAAAATGCAGGGTCTTCCCTGAAAGAGATGACGTCTAGATGGGAGCATATGTTGTTCTAGAACCTGAACATAGTTCTCTGCATTAATGGTGCCTTTCCAGACATGCAAGCTGCCCATGCCACAAGCGCTCATGCAACCCCATACCATCAGTGATGCAGGCTTCTGAACGGAGCATTGATAACTTGGGCTATCCTTGTCCTCTCTGGTCCGGATGACATGACGTCCCAGTGTTCCATAAAGAACTTCAAATCGTGACTCATCTGACCACAGAACAGTCTTCCATTTTGCCACACTCCATTTTAAATGACCCCTGGCCCAGTGCAAACGTCTGAGCTTGTGGAGCTTGCTTAGAAATGGCTTCCTCTTTGCACTGTAGAGTTTCAGCTGGCAACGGCGGATGGCACGGTGGATTGTGTTCACTGACCATGCTTTCTGGAAGTATTCCTGAGCCCATTCTGTTATTTCCTTGACAGTGGCATTCTTGTTTGAGGTGCAGTGACGTTTAAGGGCCCGGAGATCACCAGCATCCAGTAGTTTTACGGCCTTGACCCTTACGCACAGCGATTGTTCCAGATTCTCTGAATCTTTTGATGATGTTATGCACGGTTGATGAAGATAACTTAAAAGTCTTTGATATTTTACGCTGGGTAACACCATTCTGGTATTGCTGCACTATCTTTCTGCACAACAATGGTGGAATTGGTGATCCTCTTACCATATTGGCTTCTGAGAGACACTGACACTCTGAGAAGCTCTTTTTATACCCAATCATGTTGTCAATTGACCTAATTAGTGTTAATTGGTCTTCCAGCTGTTTGTTATATGCTCAATTTCCTTTTTCCAGCCACTTATTGCTACTTGTCCCTACTTTTTTGAGATTTGTTGACACTGTGAAATTTTGAATCAACATATTTTTCCTTTAAAATGTTACATTTACCATCTGTTTCAATGTTGATGTGTTCATGCGTGCACATCTGCTCACAGACTGTTTGTGCTGATGTTCAATGTTTTATGTTATGAGTGCTTAGTGTATATTTAGTTGATGTTTTTCTTGGTTCATATCTTAGATGTTATTACTGTTTTTCTTATACATTTTATTGTTGGATGTAACTGGGACCTTGTGTACATAATTTCGCTCCACCACATGTACCACATGAGGTGCGAATGACAATAAAGAAACTCTGACTCTGACTCACTCAGCTTAATCTTTTGATCTGTCATCTATGTTATATTACGAATAAAATATTGACATTTTCCATCTCTACATCATTGCATTCAGTTTTTATTCACAATTTGTTTAGTGTCCCAACTTTTTTGGAATCCGGTTTGTAGCCTTGTAACTACCTCGATGACCTCAGCCATGGCTATGATCAGACCAACCCCAAAGTCCCCTGACTCCGCTTCCTCCATGAAAGACGTGCCAGTGGGATTGAGAAGGTCTGAGAAGTATTCTTTTCACCTCCTGATGACATCACTGGTTGAGGTCAACAGCACCCCACTTTCACTGAACACAGTGTTAGTAAAGAGCTGCTTTCCCCTCCTCAGCCGCCTGATCGTTTGCCAGAATCTCCTCGGATCTGACCAAGACAGAGCTTTCAGTTGTATGGCTCCTCTCTTGTGGAATCAACTTCCAGTTTCTGTTCGTGAGGCTGACACCTTGTCTTCTTTTAAGATTAGGCTTAGGTCTTTCCTTTTTTTTATAAATTCCTATAGTTAAGGTTGTCTTGTTTTGTTTTTTCATTAGTTCAACCTTTTTTATACAGGTTAGTCTCATTGAGTCACGAGAACGAGAAAGTACCATTATGTTGAACACACTGCCTCTGATCTGAGAGGTAATTAAACAAAACAACTGATAGTGTGGTCTGGAAACCACTGTCTGAGAGCTTATGACATAAGATGTCATGGTCTACTGCAATGCTACCCACACTTTTTTTAGCATGCAAGCTACTTTTAAATGACCAAGTTCAAGTGATCTACCTACTATTAAAAATACAAAGCATATATCTAAAAGTTAAATCTGCTCCTCTGACATTCAAAAAACAAAACAAAGCAAAACAACAACAAAAATGTAGAAAGCTTTCGTCCTTCATCCGAGAGACTTCCTCAGTCTGAGGTGCTGTATTCAGCTCAGTCTCTTAAATAGCACCGTCTAAATAGCACCGTCTCAGAGTGGATCAACCAGTTTTGCTGCTGACAACCAAAACCAGCTGATCACATGCTCAAGAAGGACCATCAGCCTAACAATGGATCATTAGCACCTGATGGCTGTTTACTGTTCACAGAGGGCTGAGTGATACTAGCAATCACAGCATTGTAAGAGGGGGACAGTTGAACCTGGAGGCTCCACCCCTGTTTAACGATGGACGATTTCTTTTCACAAAGATGGCCTCCTTTACTCCTCTCTCAAACCATCGTTCCTCGCTATCCAGGATGTGAACATCTTCATCCCTGAAAGAGTGACCGCTGGCCTGGAGATGAGTGTAGACCACAGAGTCCTGGCCTGATGATGTTGATCTTCTGTGCTGGGCCATCCTTTTGGCCAGTGGCTGTTTAGTTTCCCCGATGTAAGACTGATCACAGCCCTCCTGACACTGAACAGCATACACAATATTACTCTGTTTGTGCCGGGGGACTGGATCTTTGGGATGAACCAGTCTTTGCCGTAATGTATTTTGGGGTTTAAAAGCCACTGGGACGTTATGTTTAGAAAATAAACGTCTCAGTTTCTCTGATACTCCCTCAACATACGGAATGACCACTGGTCTGGGTCTGGGTTCCTCCTTTTCACCTGTTGGCTGACTGGAGTCCTGTTTGGGTTTCTTCTTTCAGGAAGGCCCAGTTAGGATATCCACATTTCTCTAAAGCCTGTCTTGTGTAGGATTTCTCCTTCTGCCTGGCTCCTGAGTTAGTGGGTACACTGTCTGCTCTGTGGTACAGAGTCCTGATGACTCCTAACTTGTGCTCCAAAGGGTGATGGGAGTCAAACTGCAAATACTGGTCTGTATGGGTGGGTTTGCGGTACACCTCAGTTTGCACATATCCTCTGAGACTGAGATCTCACATTCCAAAAGTTGAGACTGTGAGGTCTCAGTCAGGAGGGAGACTTGGCTTGCACCCCAAAACCTTGATTTCACATAACCGTTACAAGTTATGCTATGATTTTTGCAGGTAGCCTTAAGAAATAAGGAGGGAGGTCATCAGGGCCTGCAGATTTTCTCATCCAGACTTTTTTTTCCCATTCATTCAACCTTTATTTATACAGGTTAGTCCCACTGAGCCTCGGGGACTCATTTAAGCCAGAGTCAGTGTTTCTTTATTGTCATTCACACCTCATGTGGTACATGTGATGGAGCGAAATAATGTACACAGGGTCCCAGTTACATCCAAAAATAAAATGTAAAAGAAAAACAGTAATAACATCTAAGATATGAACTAAGAAAAACATCAACTAAATATACACTAAGCACTAAGAGCATAAAAACATGACTCTAAAATCAGCACAAACATGAACATGAGTCTGTGAGCAGATGTGCACGCATGAACACATCAACATTGAAACAAATCAGCAGTAACATTGAAACAGATCAGCAGCAACATGAAACAGATCAGCAGCAACATGATATGATTTTTCACAGTGATTATTCTAGTTAGAGATTCATGAGTCTAACAGCCTCAGGGTAGAAGCTGTTCCTCAGTCTAGTGGTTCTACACTTAATGCTCCTCAACCTCCTTCCTGAGGGGAGAGGGGCAAAAAGTGTGTGTGCTGGGTGAGTGTGGTCCTTCATGATGCAGGTGGTCCTCTTCCTGCATCTGGAGGTGTAGATGTCTGTGATGGTGGGGAGGCTGACTCCAACAGACTTCTGTGCAGCCTTCACCACTCTCTGCAAAGCTTTTCTTTCTGCAGCTGTGCAGCCTCCATGCCACACGTTGATGCTGGAGCACAGGATGCTCTCCACTGCACACCTGTAGAAGGAGGTGAGGACTGAGCTTCCAGACCAGCTCATCTCAGCCGTCTGAGGAAGTAGAGTCTCTGATGAGCTTTCTTCATCAGGCTGGTGGTGTTGTTGCTCCAGCTGAGGTTGTCATTCATGTGTACACCCAAGTACTTGTAGCTGGAGACCACTTCCACCACAGATCCTCTCATGTTCAGGGGGTGCAGGTGTGTTTGTTCCTTCTGAAGTCCACAATTATCTCGTTTGTCTTCTTCTTCTTCTTTAATTTAGTTCAATTCAGAAATACTTTATTGATCCCAGAGGTAAATTAAATGTTGTAACTCTTCATCCTGGTTTCATTAAAGAGTTGTTCTAGATACTGATGGCTGTGGGCAGGAAGGA